GATTTTAGATGATCACTCACGCATACCCCTCAAATTTCATTATACACTATAAATATGTTTTATTTTCAGTAGCTAAAAACACCATATCTGAAAAGCAACTCTATTATATCACAATGAAAGAGTATACTATCTTCGTTGCTTTCTTCTTCACATGGGAACTCAAGCTCTGATTTTCTTCCTCAGCCTCCTTTTTCGTCAAAGCTTATGGCATTTTCTTCTTCAACCAAAATTATGTACCAAACAGTTTCTATTTATCTGACGTCGGTTTGGTTCAAGTCTCCTGAACCGAATGAGTTGGATTTGATTTGTTGTGAAGGAGAAAGCTCACTTTCACACTTAGTGTTAATGTTACAAACAATTAGAGATTTTAAACAAATATGATGTTAATGTTACAAACAATTATAAAAGACGTGACTTAAGTTTGTAATCATATTTGATTAGAGATGTAAATGTTACAAATATCAAAATTAATCATTTAGAGATGTTAATGTTACAAATATGATGTTAACGTTACAAATTTATTAGAGATATTACTTATAATCAATAGCAATTAAAATCTCTAATTGTTTGTAACAACTCTAATAAATTTTGTTAACTAACACATTACACATTAACATCATATTTGTTTTAAAAATTCCAACTTTAAATGTAAAGTTTTTTCATTTTATCAAAATATAAAGAAACAAATTTTAAGAACTCCTAAATTATATGACACAACGGGTAAGAATGATTTTTCATCATCATAAGAAATATCACGGGGTTGTGATTGAGATGAACTCTAACTTCAAATCTACTTCAAATTTATAAAATTACATTAATTTTAATAATACAAATATTATTTTTTTTAAAAAGAATTAACTCACATACACTATATTCAACTTGCAAATCTAAATATGTTTACAAATATAAATGTACTTTGTATATATAATCATTTAGCAAATCTGAGTTTAATGGAAGCAAAGAAATTAATAAAAATGTTAGGAAAATAAATTTTTCACTTTCATCACTAAAATGATTCTACACTTTGGAAATCACCATGAATTAGATTTTATTTTCTGATAAAATTGTGCTTCTATACTAACATTTCTAAAGCAGTTTTTGAAATAAATCACTAACTTTCAAACTATTTACGGAGAATACCACTGCATTTAATACAATATCTTTAAAAATAAATAGAAAATAATTGGAAAAAATAAAAATGGAAATACATAGCTATTTAGAAGATTTAAAATTATAGTTCAACTATCATATTTGTTTGATTTGCATATAAAACATAAAATTAATCAAATCTAATTGTCTTTTTCAGCATATTTTTTTTTTTGAATTTTTTAAAACGTATCTATATATCATTCAGTTAATATAAAAAATTATATGTTCAACATCTCAAATCCGTTAAAAAGTTAAGAGAATCATTTAGAGCCATATTATACATAAGATCAAAATGAGTTGAAATGCGAGTAAGCAAAAAGTTTTACTTAATAAGCATCCAAACTTTAAAGTTTGTATAACATTTAGTTCATTTTTAAGTGAACTGTTTGATTTTACCGTATATAGTCAATTTTAAACTTTTAATTTAAATTTAATAAAAAATTTAAACTAACACAAACATTTTTTTTTGAGGATGGGTTGTGTAAAACACAACGAGACTGGTTTGAATCGATATTAATTACTAAACAATTATCATATCATTAGTCTGATATTTCAATACCGGTTAAATCTTTATTTTCTATTTTTAATAACACTAATATAATGCATATAGAATCAAACTGATTAACATAAGACTAGGTTCGGACCCGCACTACAGTGTGGGGGAAATAATTACAAATATATAACCTTTAACGGATTTGAATATGTTACATTTTAATTTTATTACAGTGCAGTCGAGTACGGTGAATCATATATATGTATAATAAGTTTAAATAAAATAATATACGAAAAAGCGAGTAAATAATCATATATTGAGTTTTCATACAACTAAAAACACGGTGAAGTATTAATAGCACGAAATAATAATTGTCGATAAATTATTCATTTTGACCTTTTTGTAGTAGAAGTAGGATTATACATAAAAATTACATATTTACAATATATTTTTTGAAGGACCAACCCGTAACAGAATTCATTTCGTAAAAAACTTTATTCATTACTCGCTTTATCATTATAATTATTATTTTAACAAACTACCCGTGAAATATCTAAAATTTACATAGTTTGATATATAATATATTTTATCAATAAAAATTAAGTCTCCAAAATTACATTTATTTCTTCAAAAATATACTTTTTGAAATTTTAAATATGTTCATGTAACAATGGTTTTAATATTGGCCATACTTATAATGATTTTAAACCATTGTCCAAAATATTTAAAGGGAAAAATGTTATTTAAATCCCGAACATACCAATTTTGGTCATTTTAATACTCGACTTCTAATGTGGCCATTAAAATCATAGACTTCTCGTTGACATTATTTTTAAATCGCTGTCTCCTGTTAACTGAGCCAGATTGAGCATGTCGTCAAATCAAATTCTCTAAGAGGAGTTAACAGCCGTTTAGGATTGTTAATTGATCTCTGTTAAGTCAAAAAATGAGAATCACAAGGACAAGTGACGTCGTGCTGCCTTAAACGAAATGCCTAAATCCCCAAACTGAGTGTAGTTGTGTATTATATGTCCATTTTGAAAAATTTAAATTGCAACGTATGCAAAAAAAAGGTTAAATTTAATTAAATATTTATATTATATAGTATAATATCATAAATAAAAAAGAGAAATTCTTACTAATAACCTTTTTATAATACCCTTTTGCAAAACTACCCTCTTTTTTTGCCATTTTCAATTTTGTCCTCTCTTAAATTTTAATGGTCATTTTACCTCTTACGTGAAAGAATATTTTCCCCAAAAAATTCCTGCCTAAATTTTCCCGCCAAAAAAATTTCCTGCAAAAAAAATATTTTACAAAATTTTCCCGCCAAATTTTTTTAAAGGTTTTACAAGGATTTTTAAAGGGTCTTTTAAAGTTTGCAAGGGGGTTTAAAGGGATTTACGAGTTTTTAAATGACTTTTAAAAGATTTGTAATGGTTTTAAAGGGTTTTAGAAGCTTACAAAGGTTTCTAAATGGTTTTTAAATGATTTCCAATGGTTTTTAAAAGTTTTTATTAGTTTATAACAGTTTTAAAAGGATTTACAAGGATTTACAAGGATTTTTAAAGGTTGTTTAAAAGAATTTACTAGTGTTTTTAAAAAGATTTACAAGTGTTTTTAAAGTCATACAAGGTAACATAACATCATCTACGTAGAAAGAAGGTAACATAATATACGTTTATAGAATTTGTACAATATTAAGGGAATTTGAAATCTTATTGTATCTGCAACCTTAGCCAAATATTAATTCTTCTTAAAATTTTTTTTATCATGAATTATTATCTGAAGAAAGCATTTGAATTTTATAGTCCAGTGTGTTAAATCATTTCACCAACATAAATATCTCTTGACCTTTTGTTTGATTTGATGACTAAACATAGAGTTTAGAATCACTTTAACTACATTTTATAGTCTTCTTTATAGATTATTTTTCTGATAAAACCTTCTCAATACATGTGATAAGTTAACTAATATGTTATTACCAGATCAAGAGAGCACTTTTAAAAATTTTGTCATTTCTCTCCAAACATTGTAAAACCACATGCTGCTTCTTTGATGCCCATGCTACAGCTCCACCTCCTAACAAAAATGCCCACTTGTACTCTTTCTATCATCAATGTCTCCTGCATAGTCACTGTCTGTATATACAAAAATGCCCAATTATAGCTTGAGACTATAGTTTACAACATCGTTGCTTATAACGATAAATAAATAATTTTAAGAGAGTCAACTAACTTTGACTTTGTTATCTTCATTGGTTTTGGTCTCTTCTTCCTGTGTGATATATTTCCAAACTTCATCAACAGTTCCCGTCGATGTTGAGCCTTGCACTAGATTTATTCTTAACCAACTCATCCATTTTAGACAAGTTGATAATTATTAATTATTACTTTTTTCATTTTCTATAAATCTTTTTCATATATTGTTTATAGACAAAAACTTTAATTTTATTAAATAAATTAAATTTAAGGAAATGATAAATGATTACAATTATAAATAAAAACTTATAATTAATGTAATATTGTTGTAAACCACATGCATTGTGTAGAATTAATTTGAATAGAGGTTCTTATGAAATGATGGTATTCATACAACTTAGGAAATTTCTATGCTATATTTCATGGTAATCATTTATCTACTGAATTAAGATTAACTTAAATATGTACAATACTCTCTTCTTCTTTTTTTTTTTTTTATAAATCTACAATATTAAAAAAATATGCAAAAAATCATCCAAAATATGATGATTACAAATAAATAAATATCAGAATTACAAAGGGCTGATTTCTTTTTTTTTAATTTGAGGTTTCCAGCTGTACTTCCATAAAGTTTTTTTTTTAATTGAATGTAAAATTTTATTCAATCAAAAACCATGTGTACAAATAATGCTTCAGTTGGTTTAAAAAATTAGACAATAGTTGGAAAATAAAACAGAATTTAAAAAGCTATATGTGAATTTTAGCGGGTGGAATACATGAGGCGGAGACCATCGTTATAATGAGGATCACCTATGTCTCGGATTGTGCTGAGACTGTTTCGTACATTGTTGTCAATGAACATTCTTTTCTTTTAATAAATCTACAATATTTTAAATTATGGAAATACTCATCCAAAATATGATGATCACAAATAGATTAAAATCAGAAGTTTCCAACTGTTGCCTATTTAATGTAAATATTAGAGAAGTTACTTTTGTGTATACTTTGCTCATATTTAATTTGTGTCATGGAAATAGCACAATCACTACAGAATCCACATGACTTTGTTCTCATTTACTTTAAAGTTTTGTTTCTAAAAAAATCTTTGAACGAAGCTTCCTCTCTTGCTAGTTGCTAGTCCTGTGTGAGAACTAAAGACTCTTTTATATTATGAGTCAATGAGTCAACGTTCTTTTATAATGTATACATAGTCTCTTTTGCAACTGATCTTCTTCCACATAGCTCTCTTTAACGCTCTCTGATATTATTCATCTCTTCAATCATACTTGCTAATGGATTCTTCTTCTTTTTTCCTTACCACTGTTCTTGCTGCAACAATAGGCTTCTTCACGATTTTTAAAAAACTCAGACTCCATCAAGAAGAGGACGAAGAAACTTCATCTCCTCCATCTTCTTTGTCTCCTTCATCTTCTCCATCTTCTCTAAATCGCATCTGGACACACCATGTCTTTCCAAGTTTCCGTGGGGAAGATGTCCGTAGAGACTTTCTTAGTCACATTCAGATGGAGTTTCAAAGAATGGGAATCACACCATTCATTGATAATGAGATCAAGAGAGGAGAATCCATCGGTCCTGAACTCATTCGGGCCATTAGAGGATCCAAGATCGCAATTATCTTACTCTCGAGAAACTACGCTTCTTCGAGTTGGTGTCTTGACGAATTGGTGGAAATTATGAAGTGCAAGGAAGAATTGGGTCAAATAGTGATGGTTGTATTTTATAAAGTGGATCCCTCTGATGTGAAAAAACTAACCGGAGAATTTGGGAAAATCTTCAGAAAAACTTGTGCCGGTAAAACAAAGCAGGACACTGGGAGATGGAGACAAGCTTTGGCTAAAGTAGCCACAATCGCTGGTTACCATTCAAGCAACTGGTTTGTTTTTTTCTATTTTCATTTAAATCTGTTAAATTATCTAACAAACATCTAAATGTACATATTTATAGCTAGTTTTTCTTAAAGCATAAAAATTAAATTCATAGTATTGTAGTGTATGTTCTCTACATAATTGCTTAATCGATGTAGTGATCTCTTCTATTGTTAGGGATAATGAAGCGGCTATGATCAAACAAATCTCTACTGATATTTCCAACGAGTTGAATAATTCAGCATTATCAAGTGATTTTGACGGGTTGGTTGGTATGAGAGCTCATTTGAAGAAGATGGAACCATTGTTATGCCTAGATTCAGATGAAGTGAGGATGATCGGGATTTGGGGTCCTTCTGGGATCGGGAAAACCACCATTGCTAGAGTTGCATACAACAAATTCTCCAATAATTTTCAGCTAAGTGTCTTTATGGAATCTATAGAAGTAAAGTATACAAGACCTTGTTCTGATGACTATAGTGCAAAGTTGCACTTACAACAATTATTTATGTCTCAAATAACCAACCAAAATGATATGAAGATTTCTCATTTAGGAGTTGTTAAAGACAGACTAAAAGACAAGAAAGTTCTTGTTATTCTTGATGGTGTGGACCAGTCAATACAACTAGAAGCCATGGCGAAAGAAACTCGGTGGTTTGGTCCTGGGAGTCGGATTATCATCACAACGCAAAATCGAAAGATTTTTAGGACACATGGGATCAACCATATTTACAAGGTGGATTTTCCACCGGATGACGAGGCTCTTCAAATTTTTTGCACGTATGCTTTTGGTCAAAAGTCCTCTAAAGATGGTTTTAAAGAACTTGCTCGAGAAGTTACAAAACTTGCTGGTAAACTCCCTTTGGGTTTAAGGGTTATGGGCTCTTATTTTCGAGGAATGTCTAAGCAGGAGTGGGCAAAGGAATTACCAAGGTTAAGGACTAGCCTTGATACCGATATTCAAAGCATTCTGAAGTTCAGTTATGATGCCTTAGATGACGAAGAAAAATATTTGTTTCTTCATATAGCTTGCTTTTTTAATTATCAAGTGATTGAGAAAGTGGTTACTCATCTTTCATATCTATTATTGGATGCGAGACGAGGGCTTAACGTCTTAGCTGAGAAATCTCTCATATCTATAGAGTATGGACGTGTAAGTATGCATAATCTGCTAGTCCAACTAGGTAGAGATATAGTTCGTAAACAGTCTGTTCGTGAGCCTGGACAACGCCTATATTTAGTTGATGGAAGAGAAATTTGTGAAATACTCACTGATGATGTAGGAGTAAGTTTTGACATATATCCCAATAAATAGTGTTTATTTGATGATGAATCATCTCTTATTATTTTTGTTTCTTTTTCAGACTAATAGAAGATTCATAGGCATAAATTTCGATTTCGGCGTGAAAAGTGTCAAGAAAAAATTTAGTATAAGTGAGAGAGCCTTTCAAGGAATGACTAATCTCCAGTTCTTAAAATTGAAGGGAATTCACAATACATTAGATCTACTCCGTGGTCTAGAATATATGTCTGGAAATCTTCGATTACTACTATGGATGGAGTTTCCAATGACATGTTTGCCTCCTATTTTTAAGCTAGAGTTGCTAGTTGAAATAGAGTTGAGTTATAGCAAACTTGAGAAGTTGTGGGAAGGAATTAAAGTAAGTACAATATTTATTTATATTTCAGAAATTTAAACTAATTTCAAATAAATATCTTTTCATTGTTATAATTTTATTTTGATTAATTATTAAAGCTTATGTTCTTGTCATTTTTCTGTATAGCTGCTTCCAAATCTCAAGTGGATGGATTTGAGATCGTCTAAAAACCTAATGGAGCTTCCTGATCTCTCAACAGCCAACAATCTTCTGGAATTGAATCTCCAAAATTGCTCCAGCCTAGTGAATCTCCCCTCTACTATTGGGTATACTAAAAATCTTCAGAAATTGAATCTTGGTGGATGCTCAAGTCTGATAAGTCTCCCCTCTTTCATTGGAACTTCCACTAATCTCCAAATATTATATATCGGTGGATGCTCAAGTCTAGTGGAGCTTCCTTCCTTTGATAATAATTTCATCAGTCTAAGTGGATTGGATCTTAGCAATTTATCAAGTCTGGTGGAGCTTCCTTCCTTTGATGGTAATTTCATCAATCTAAAAACATTGAATCTTAGCCGTTTATTAAATCTGGTGGAGCTCCCTTCCTTTGTTGGTAATGCTACTAATCTAGAGAATTTGGACCTTAGCGATTGCTCAAGTCTGGTAAAGCTTCCCTTTTCTATTGGAAACCTTCAGAAGCTGCAGACTTTGATCTTAGACGGGTGCTCGAAGCTAGAGTATCTTCCGACTGACATCAATTTGGAATCTCTGGATATACTTGATCTCACGAATTGCTTGTTGTTGAAATTGTTTCCGGTGATTTCCACGAACCTTAGCACTCTCCATCTCACAGGAACTGCAATTGAAGAAGTCCCTTCATCAATCAAATCTTGGTCTCGTCTCACAGATTTGCTGATGACATACAGTGTAAAACTCAAGGAATGTCCTCATGCTTTTGACGTCATCACAGAGCTGCACGTGGATGATAAAGAAATACAAGAGCTTCCTCCATGGGTCAACGAATTCTCTCGTCTGCAAAAACTTCGACTCTATGGATGCAAAAAGCTGGTGTCAATCCCACAGATTCCAGATTCCCTCACTTCCATAGTTGCAGAAGATTGTGAGTCCTTGGAGAGACTAGATTTCTCCTTTCAAAATCCAAAAATTTATAGTCTCAATTTTGATAAGTGCTTCAAATTGAATCAAGAAGCCAGAGACCTCATCATCCAAAAACAGACTATAACCTATGCGGTCTTACCCGGCGGAGAAGTGCCTGCATACTTCACTCACCGAACTGCTACCGGAGGTTCCTTGAAAATTAATTTAAACGAGAAGCCTCTTCCTATATTCATGAGATTTAAAGCTTGCATTTTGCTGGTTAATGAAGGTGACAATGACGAGACATGCTCTCACGTTTATGTTACGTGTAAAAATAGCAAAATGGGACTTTCTTTATTTGCCACCAGCTGGATAGAACTAGATGACATTTTAACAGAGCATTTGTACATATTCGAAGTGGAAATGGATGTAATTTCCAGCGAGCTTATCTTTGAGTTCAAGGTTCGCCAAGACGATTGGGAGATAGGACAGTGCAATTGGAAGATAGGACAATGCGGGGTAATCCAACTCTTGGAGGTCCCTTGATGAAACTGAAGTCTACGGTAAAGTATTGGAGACGGCCACTACAATTCAAGAGCACACGGAGAGAAGGAAAAAGGTAATTTATCAATCTGCGTTATTAGATTTTGTTCTATATTTTAAGGGATTTGAAGACTCTGTCTCTGAGAATTTTAATCTCTTTTCAACTTTTAGGATTCAAATATTATTTTTCTGCTTTACATAAGATTCACTAGAGGGCACGCAAGGCTGAACAAGACCCAGCCAATCCAAGGAGTTCATGGCGAGCTGGATTGAGAGGATGATGCATAAGTCTGACGTTGGGGAGAGCTCTTTGAAGAGGTTTTGGACTGAACCATATATGACGATGCTAATAAATGAGAAAAGATTCTTAGCAACACAAAATGTTAGCCAAAATCTAATAAAAACCTCAATACAAGGTAAACCCATATTCACTGAAATAAACCATGGTAAGAGACTGCTGTTTGCAGTAAAGGCTCGCACAAACGCGAGAAAATTGCCAACCAAGGGCGTGTAAGCACCTGCGAGAGAACCGAATGAGCAAATCATGATCGAAGAAAACCATAACATATGCCTAACCTGGCCACAATGGAGAGGAACAGAGCTTGTGGTGATGAAATTCCAGCAAGACTCTCTAACCTCTAGTGCCTTAGTAGCTATATGTAGTTCACACGATAGATAGTCAATGGGAAAGAAGAGTACACACATATTTGGTGACTTTGGCTGAGAAAGACTAACAACCAAAGCATCTACCGCGACGGGCAGAAGGAGGAGAGGAGTGTCCGTTCCTTTTAGGCGGTGGGGCAAGGCGAGATCTTGTGAAAGAGGAGATGACGGTGGTTGGGACTGGATATGAGCTTTCTCGGACAAGAAGGAGACATGGAAGGTGGAACAATGTAGGCATGTAGCTGCGATTTAAACTCGTCAGAGGAGAGGCGGATCTGAGAAGGTGGGTCCGGTGGTTCTGGCGGAGTCGGCGGAGGCGGAGGCTCTGGTAGAAGCACTTGAGGAAACCTCAGACCGAGGGAAAGAACCGAACACGTCGGGAATGCAACTATTTTTTGTCTCACTTAGTTTTTCTTTCACTTTGTTAAACCTGAACTATTATTATCTGAAGAAAGCATTTTAATATTATAGTCTAGTGTGTTAAATCATCTCATCAACAAATGTGAGAAATATCTCTGGAATTTTTGTTAGATCTAATTTACTAAAGTGATTCTACATAAAATTTAGGAATAATTGGGATTTTAGAACATTTTTCAAACTTAATTAGTAAAATAGTACAATTACTATTTATAATTGGCAAATTAGTCACCTTTCCCTATTTTCCACTATTTTGAAGACTTTATAACCCTCTCATCTCTCTCATATTTACACTAAATGCCATTAAACTTATTTTTATATATATTTTTGTGTATTTTCTTTTTCTCTCTTTTTATAATCTAATAAATAAAATATTAATTAACATATTTTTCTGATTTTCTAATACAGTAAACTTATATATACACAATTTTTATTTTTACACTCATATTTACTGTATATTATATAATTTATATGAATAAAATATATATTATGTACAAAAAAATATATGTACATATATAATTGTATATATATACTTGTACATATATATAATTGTACAAATATAAACATTGTACAGTTAAAATATTTGTACAAAGATATAAATCGTACAGAATAATGTATGTACAAATACAATTGTACGGATATAAAATATTGTACATGATTATTTTTGTACATATACGTCTTTCCGTACAGATAGACAAATGTACGAATCATAATTTGAATGAAATATATTTGAAAATATTAAACAATATGCATATCAAATTGTAGAGAAAAAAGAAGATGATTTTTCTGTTTCTAAAGTTTTTTAAAAAACAAATTCATATAATTAATATTTTAGTTATTAAATTAGTGGGAGAATGTAAGAAATAAAAAAAAAATATATATATATATATATATATATATATATGAGATGGAGAGAGAAAGAGAATATGGATGGCATTTGTCTTTTGTTTACGAGAGAAAGAGAGAGATATGATTATAGGACAGTTTGGTAATTGCAAAAAATTAGAAAAGAGCTTCTATTACATACACAGTAAAATACGGAGGTGGGTTTTACTAATTCTAAATAGTAAAGTGACTATATCCCCTATTAAGTTTGGAAAATATACTAATTTGCAAAGTCTCCCTAAAATTTATAGGATCCAGTCCAAAGATATTAATTTTTTAGAATCACAACTAAATATTAGAAATCACCCTGATAAAATCTTTGATGCAGCGCATCTTAGTCGTTCTTTTTAAGTTGGGCTTTGGTGTTATGTTTATTACTTGGGCTTTACGTTTTGATTTCATAAACTATTTCTAAGTCGGTTTTACTTAGGGTTTTCTTAGCTTTGTATTTATAGCCACTTCTCTTGATGAAAGAGGTCACGTTTTATTGAATATAATCAAAAGCTTTAAGCTTATTGCTTTCTCTTGATCTTCGGCTATTCATTGAATCAACGAACTTCAAGTCTTGTCTTTGTTTGGCTATTCTCTTGAATCAACAAGCAATTAGACAGCCCCTTATTGATCGGTCATTCTTTTGAATCAACGATCTTTAGGTTCTATCGGGTAACGCTGCGCCAATCTTACAATACATTCTCAGTACGAGAGCTTTCAAATTCAGGTTATTAGTTAAGAGCACATTTAAATTTTTGTCATTTGGCTCCAAACATTGTAAACAATACAGAGTATATTAGACTTGTTTATAGTATACTAAAACATAAATAAAATATGAGCCCATGAATAAAACCAAACCTTGAAAAATCCACTTTTATGTTAATGTTTACATCACATAAATTTACTCAATATTTTGGATTGAAATTTAAAAATATCATTTAATATCTATCTAAACATATTTTAACCAAAATTATTCTACATAATATAAAGTAGGACCTATGATGTACCACATAATTTTTTTAATGTTCTATCTATTATTATATATTTAATATATAAAATCCTATAATTAAAATTATATTTTTAATGTTTTAAAAGTTATAATAAAGATTTTTAAAAGGGTGAATTAAAATTTTATACTCATTTACTATACCATATACAAAATACTAATGAATTACATTTTGTTTATTGTATGTAGGGTTTAGGGTTTAGGGTTTAGGGAAAATACTAATTAAATATTAAAAATATTACAGACTTGGTTGTTGTTTATTGTATATCCAAATAAATTTTAATATGTGAATTTTGATATATTTTAGGGTAATTTGCATTGATAGTCACTTTCATAAACAATTCACATAATTAGTAACTTTTAAAACTTGAGGAAGAAGTATAAGGAAAATAAAGGGCACAATTAGCCTCCATCTTTTCTAACTAACCAGTTACACATTTTCTTTCTCCACACTCTCTTTCTAAAATCTGAAACATACACACTCTCTCTCTCTCTCTCTCCACTCTCTATTCCCAAAATCTGAATACTCTTTTTTTTTGGCCTACGAAACTTCCTTTTTTCTATACATCTATCCACCTTTTCTTTTTGTTTATGTATCAGTTATTTTTAATACAATGATTCAAGCGATATCCACATTGATTTAAAAATTAAAATTAGATAGTTCGCAAATCGTTTTAAAAAGACACCTATGTGGATGTGCTCTACATCTACTCTTCCACTGCGTATAAACTCAAAAAATAATAACCCCATATTACTGTTTTCTTATCAACATTTTCTTTCTCGCAACTCATTTTAATTGGTAATTTGGATCTTAGCCATTTATCAAGTCTGGTAGAGCTCCCTTCCTTTGTTGGTAATGCCATGAATCTTGAAAGGTTGGACCTTAGTAATTGCTCAAGTCTCCTAAAGCTTCCCAATTCTATTGGAAACCTCCGTAAGTTGAAGATTTTGATATTACAAGAATGCTCGAAGCTAGAGTATCTTCCGACAGACATCAACTTGGAATCTCTGGATTGTCTTTATCTCACGAATTGCTTGCTGTTGAATCTTTTTTCCTCAGATCTCCATGAACCGTATAACTCTAGATCTCAGAGGAACTGCAATAGAAAAAGCCCCTTCATCAATCAAATCTTGGTCTCGTTTCACAGATTTGATAATGACATACAGTGTAAAACTCAAGGAATGTCCTCATGCTTTTGACATCATCACAGAGCTGCACGTGGATGATAAAGAAATACAAGAGCTTCCTCCATGGGTCAACAGATTCTCTCGTCTGCAAGAACTTCGGTTCAATGGATGCAAAAAGCTGGTGTCAATCCCACAAATTTCAGATTCTCTCATGTACATAGTTGCAGAGGATTGTGAGTCCTTTGAAGAGTTTCCCCCATGGATCAGTAAATCCTCTCATCTGAATGAACTCGTGCTCAAGAGATGCAGAAAGCTGGTATCACTCCCACATATTCCAGATTCCCTCACTTACATAGTTGCAGAAGATTGTGAGTCCTTGGAGAGACTATATTGCTCCTTTCAAAATCCATATATTTCTGGCCTCCATTTTGCTAAGTGCTTCAAATTGAATCAAGAAGCCAGAGACCTCATCATCCGAACATGGACTAGTGACTATGCTTACGAAGGGAGCTAAGTTGTTGCTCTCAAATGCCAAACTCTAGCAAACTCAAGTCCAAGCATTCTTAAATAAACGCTATCCAACGACAACACACGTGTGAGCTTATGATTTTGAAGCTTCTCTTATGTTGTTTGTCGAGGTGCATTTTTATTGTTTATTTTTCAACCACAGGTCAGTAAAGTCACGACTTCAAACCAAACAGGTCATGGCAGGGGACAAAAGACAACAATACAAAGGCTATCCCTCTTGCAATAATAAGATCATCAAAAACTCATTTCTCAACTAAAGCAAAGAGTTGTTGTGTTGGTTTTGAAATCGTAGGACCGTTAGAGGAGATACTGAAAATGATTCGATACGAAGTGCTTTACAGGTTTTACAAAGGGATGGAGCACAAAGATAAGTGCAAAGTGTTTAAGCGGCTGAGGTTCTGACAATATTGGTGGCCAAGAAAAGTGTTACCCTTCATTCATCTTTACAAGAGTATTTATACATAAGAGTGGAAGCCCTAGAGAATATTCTAGACTTGATATACAAGATACAATAAGATACAATAATAGGAAATATCTAATTATTAACATAATAATCCCCAATACTCCCCCTCAAGTTGGCGCATGAAGATCGCGAATGCCCAACTTGTCAATAAGAAATGTGAATTGTGGAGCACCAAGTGACTTAGTGAGGAAGTCGGCGAGCTGGTTGGATGTGTGAATCTTCTTAGTAGCAATAAGACCCTCTTGAATCGCATCACGAACAAAGTGGCAGTCAGCTTCAATATGTTTGGTACGCTCATGAAACACCGGATTAGCTGCAATATGAAGGGCGGCCTGATTATCACAAAAGAGAGAGACTGGAGCAGTACGACGGATACCAAAACAAGAAAGAAGCTCATGTTCCCATTTGATTTCACAAGTAGTATATCGCATTGCCCTATATTCAGCTTCAGCGGAAGAGAGAGAAACAGTCTTCTGCTTCTTAGTTTTCCATGCAACAGGTGACCCGCCAAGAAGAATAACATATCCCGTCAACGACCGGCGAGTGAGCTTACAAGCGGCATGATCAGCATCACAATAAGCGGAGAGGTGGAGATCACCATGAGCAGCAAGGAGAATACCTTGACCGGGGCAACCTTTTAGATATTTCACCACTCTAAGCGCTGCCTCCCAATGCTTAACCAGCGGCTTCTTAAGAAACTGGGCAAGAATATGTATAACATAGGAAAGATCAGGACGTGTAACCATGAGGTAGACTAGACGACCCACAAGACGACGATACTTTTCGGGATCAGCATAAGGACCATCTTCGGGATGAAGTAACCGATGATTTTCCTCCATAGGAGTAGCAACCGGTCGGCTGGCAAGTAGACCACACTCATCAATAATATCCAAAGTATACTTCCTCTGTGACAAATAAATACCCTTCGGTGAGCGAGCAACTTCAATACCAAGAAAGTATTTTAATGGACCCAAATCTTTCATCTTAAAACATTCACTCAAATAGCACTTAAATTCAGAGATAGCACGCGAGTCATTCCCGCCAATTAACAAATCATCAACATACACAAGGACATATAACCGCATATCACCACGAGATAAGTAGAATAAAGAGTAATCCGTGTATGTCTGAGTAAAACCATATCCAAGCAAAGCTTGTGTGAGCTTTGCAAACCAACACCGCGGAGCTTGGCGCAAACCATATAAAGATTTACGAAGACGTAAGACTTTATTAGAACCAGAAGAATGAAAACCCGGCGGAAGCGTCATGTAAACCTCTTCATCCAAATCACCATGAAGAAATGCATTATGCACATCCATTTGATGAACATCCCATTGCTTTACTGCTGCAACCTTAAGAAACATACGAATAGTTGTCATCTTAGCCACAGGAGCAAAAGTCTCTTCAAAGTCTTTCCCAGCAATTTGTCGATCACCACGGATAACCAAACGTGCCTTATATCGTTCAATAGACCCATCTGAATGGTGTTTAATGGTAAATATCCAGCGACACCCAAGAGCCTTCTTACCCGGAGGAAGATCGGTGACATACCAAGTATCATTCTCTTCAAGAGCCCCAATTTCAAGACCCATAGCCTCACTCCAAACTTTCAACTGAACAGCTTCAGCATATGTTTTAGGTGCAACGGCTGTTGTAATAGCCGCAAGGAACGCCCTGTGGTTATCCGAAAAACGATCACAAGAGACATAATGTGAAATTGGGTAAGCAACCGTACCTGAATGAGAAGACGCTGAGGCGGAAGTGCAAGATGAGGGGTCCGTGGTGCATTGGGTCGTGTTAAGAACATAATCTTTCAATCGTTGTGGTAAGACCTTAGGGCGTTTACCAACTCCCAACTCTTCAACCAAAACCTCTTGAGTTGGTGCAACGGCATTGTCGATAGGAGTGGTAAGAACCAGACCGATCGATCGGTCAGTCGGATCGGTCGGTCGTATAGCTTCTGTTTCATCTGACGGAAGAGGATCGATCGATCGTGATTCCGGATCGATCGGTCGTGTGGCTTCTGTATCGAGCTGCTCGAGAGGACCGATCGATCGTGAAGTCGGATCGATCGATCGGCTTGTTTCTGTGTCGACATGGTCAAGGTGATCGACCGATTGGTTCTCTGGATCGATCGGTCCGTTAATTGTAGGTGTAGCAACACGAGAGGAACTCCCCCTTTTAACAGCAGGCTGAGCAGTGATAAATTCTTCTGCAACAGGAACATCTTGTGGTGGAACTGCAAACTCAGAACCGGACAATGTAACATCCATTTTGGCAAATGGGAATTCATTTTCATAGAAGACCACATCTCGAGAAACAAAATGTTCTTGTGTCTCCAAGTCATATACCTTCCAACCTTTCTGACCATACGGATATCCCATAAAAACACACTTTTGACTCCGTTCACCAAACTTATCTTTATCCCGAGATTTCTTATAAGCATAACACAAGCAGCCAAATACTTTCAAACGTTCAAAATGAGGAAGAGAACCATATAAAAATTCATATGGTGTCTTACCATCGAGGAGAGGGGTCGGCGTTCTATTAATGAGATGAGC